CTCCCCTCATCACCATAGTATCCAAGTACTTTAAAAACATTAATGAATTTATCCTTCTAGTACTCCTTCTGAGGAAGGGACGTATTATCCCCATTTTACAGAAGTGGAACCAAGGCACAGAATAGATAAAGGACTTGCCAAAGGTCTCACAGGGAATTTGTGAAAGGTCCAGCAACTGAAACCTAAACTCTGGAACATTAGCCTAATGTCTTAATCACAAGATCATTCTTCTTCCTTTTCCTGAAATTTTTCCCATATCTTAACTATTTCAAGTATTAATCAGAAAACTTTAAACTATTTTCACTCAACCATATTCACTGAATTGAGACAATTTGCTGGTTTGCCATCACCCTTCCTTTATATCTTGAGGGAAATGCTGTATGATCCAAGAGTCAATTAATATTACTTATTTTCCAATAGCAGCAAATTCATAACATGAGCACATACTACCAACATCCCCACTTTCTGAGCCAAAATCCTGATAAAATCTCTATTGAAGGAAATATACAGATAACGGTTCTGTTACAGCATAGCTGGTCCCAGAAAACGAATCTTTGCTTAAGAGCAGCCATTCCACTTCCTCACAATCACCTTCCATTTGTACCACACAAAAGCCAATAAACAACTCAACATCTTCCTGAATGGACACACTCTGGCCCATGACCAAAGCGTATGTGTCTAGGACAGCAGTTTTCAAACTGTGGGTCGGAACTAGTAGATACTCAGCTGAATGAAGCCATGCACATAACAGGTACCAAGTAGGGCTGTCGATTAATCGCAGTTAACTCACGCGATTAAACTCAAAAAAAATTAATCATGATTAATCGCAGTTTTAATTGCACTGTTAAATAGAATACCAATTGAAATTTATTAAATATCTTGGATATTTTTCTACATTTTCATATACGTTGTATTCTGTGTTGTAATTGAAATCAAAGTGTATATTTTTATTATAAATATTTTCACTGTAAAAAATAAATCTCATACAAGTACTGTAGTGCAATCTCTGTCGTGAAAGAGCAACTTACAAATGTAGATTTTTTTTGTTCCATAACTGCACTCAAAAACAGAACAATGTAAAACTTCAGAGCCTACAAGTGCTAAGAGAAACGAGTTTGTTTACATTTACAGGAGATAATGCTGTCCTCTTTTTATTTACAATGTCACCAGAAAGTGAGAACAGGCAATTTGCACGGCACTTTTGTTGCTGGCATTGCAAGGTCTTTATGTGCCAGATAAGCTAAATATTCATATGCCCCTTCATGCTTCGGCCACCATTCCAGAGGACATGCTTCCATGCTGATGATGCTCATTAAAAAAATAATGCATTAATTAAATTTGTGACTGAACTCCTCAGGGGAGAATTGTATGACCCTTGCTCTGTTTTACCATATATTTCATGTTATAGCAGTCTCGGATGATGACCCAGCACATGCTATTCATTTTAAGAATATTTTCACTGCAGATTTGACAAAACGCAAAGAAGATACCAATGTGAGATTTCTACAGATAGCTACAGCGCTCGACCCAAGGTTTAAGAATCTGAAGTGCCTTCCAAAATCTGAGAGGGATGAGGTGTGGAGCATGCTTTCAGAAGTCTTAAAAGAACAACACTCTGATGCGGAAACTACAGAACCTGAACCACCAAAAAAGAAAACCAACCGTTTGCTGGTGGCATCTGACTCGGATAATGAAAATGAACATGCGTTGGTCCGCACTGCCTTGGATTGTTATAGAGCAGAACCCGTCATCAGCATGGATGCATGTCCCCTGGAAAGGTGGTTGAAGCATGAAGGGACATATGAATCTTTAGTACATCTGGCACGTAAATACCTTGCGATGCTGGCTACAACAGTGCCATGAGAATGCCCGTCCTCACTTTCAGGTGACATTGTAAACAAAAAGTGGGCAGCATTATCTCCTGCAAATGTAAACAAACTTGTTTGAGCAATTGGCTGAACAAGGAGGAGGACTGAGTGGACTTGCAGGCTCTAAAATTTTACATGGTTTTATTTTTGAATACATTATTTTGTACATAATTCTACATTTGTAAATTCAACTTTCATGATAAAGAGATTACTCTACAGCACTTGTATTAGGTGAATTGAAAAATACTATTTCTTTTGTTTTTTTTACAGAGCAAATACTTGTAATAAAAAATAATTATAAAGTGAGCACTGTACACTTTGTGTTCTGTGTTGTAACTGAAATCAATATATTTGAAAATGTAGAAAGCATCCAAAAATATTTAAATAAATGGTATTCTATTATTGCTTAATCGTGCAATTACTTTTTTTAATCACTTGACAGCCCCAGTACCAAGAGAATGATCAACCTGGCCTGGTTGCTGGTCCTGTCCAAAATCGTCACCTTGCAGAATCTGCTCCTTAAGGAGCAAAACAAGCCACATCTACCCCTGCTTACAGATTAGTTTAATCCATTGAGCCATCATCTCAGCTCAATTCCCCTAAGAACCCTTGATATCACCTCCAGGTGGCACTGTAGCTGGCAAGAGCAAGCTTCAAACATTGACAGTGCCTATCTCATGACAGATCCAACAGTCCAGCCCCTAGTTTTGACATTTCATTTGCCATTTTTGGGTAAAGCTCAACCACTTGTAGAATGATCAGATGTGTTGACCATTACTATGGTCTGACCTTAAGAGCCCCTCCATGCCAACTGGCAGAGACCCATTATTTTGTAATTCCTATCTGACACATTCACTCCACCTATCACATTGCTCTCATTTATCTGTAAAGACTACCGTGCGAAGTATCAAATGAAAGCTGGTGACACATCAGTCATTAATATCATTACATGATGTATGTACAGATGGTGTGTAAAGAGTTGTGTGTGTGCTGGAAATATGTTCCTAAAATTTGTTTTGGGAGCAGAGTTGATAAACAAATTTGTCCTAGACAAAGGAATGTTGATTTGCCTGTTTACATGTGTCTCTAATGTAAATTGAGCATGGTGATGCCAGAGACATTGGGCAGTTCCTTTACATCGGAGGTTAACATCCGTTATCAGGAGGATAAGTCATCCTGACTCTTGAGACCAAAGACAATGAACTTTAGGGAATATAAGGAGAAGCAAAAGAGCATTTTCTTATTCATCACTGGAGGAGGGAGGGAGGGAAAGAGGTCAGTGTTCTTTACATTCTATGAACGGTGGATCCCCAACTACTTAGGGCTGGTGATATTAAAAAGTAGCTGTAGGTGAGAAAACTGCCTTGGACAAGGATTGTAATCTGTTAAATTTTAGTCACTAGAAAGCGTGATTATATTTTTGTTTTATTTGTAACAATTTTCTGTTTCTGTTATCGCTGCTTAGAATCAAATTAATAAAACTTATTCTTGTTTTATTATAAATTCATCTCAGTGCTGTTAAGTGAGGTGTGAATCCACAGCTAAGCCAACAGGCTGGTGTGTATTCTGTCTCTTTGGAGACACGGGTATCCAGTGGCTGGATGCTGCACAGACACGCTTCTGGACAGTTAGGGAACTGAAGTACATCAAGGGTTAACCTGCAGAGCAAAGTTAGGACTGGCAGAGTGAGAAGGAGTTTGTTTGGCTGGCTAACAGACTGGGGCGGCAGAGAGCACCAAAAATGTGTATACAAAGTGTAGTACCAAAAATATTTCTTTTGCTAAAGCAGAAGGGTGACAGTGACTTACAGTTCCGGTTGCCCTAAAAAGAAGTGTCAAAATGGGGCCTTTGTAACTCCCCCACTTTGTCGCTGTGGCCAGTTAGAAGATGTACGCCACATGCATCAGCAAGGGCTGCTGGTTCCCTCATGGACTGGCATAATGCCCTCCCATCAGCTACTGAATGGTTAAGAAATTTAAACTAACACACCTGACTTGATCATCTATGCCAGTGGTCCCCAACCTTTCTGTGTGGCGGGCACTGGACGACTAGCCGCCAAGGAGCATGGCCGCCAGACAAGCAGCCGCCAGAAGTAGTGTCATCAAGAGGCGTCGCCGCTGAAAAGCAGCAGCATTTCGGCGGCAACGCTTCTTGACGTTGCCGCTTCTCGGAGGCATTTTGGCGGCTGCTTGTCCGGCGGCCAGTAGGCAGGTGCACATAAATGCCCCGGCGGGCGCCATGGCAGCCGCAGGCACCGCGTTGGGGACCCCTGATCTACGCAGATGCAATGTTTAAGTTATATATTTTACAGTCATCATTCTAATATCTTATTTTAAGTAGGGAACCTATTTTAGACTTGAGCTGATCCTCTAGACCAGAGCTGGAATAGCAAGCACTTGATAGTATCCTGGGGAGAAACATCTCTCTGTATTCAAGACTTGTCTATCTAAATAAATGAGAAAAAAACGGGCCAATTTTGACAACTAGAGGCACAATGGAATTCTGTCATATTGATTTTAGCACTATTAAGCAAATTTGGCAAATTAAAAACTGATCAAGCTCACCTCGGAAGATATATTTAATTATAGAATATAAATGTGTATGTTGAATGATAGCAATGTTTTAAATCTAAATCTGAAATAGATTAGATTTAATAGTTTACTATTAGAAGAAAAAGGATTAACAATGAAAACAAAAAAAGGTGGATTTACATATAACTATATTCAGGCCCTTCCAAACTTTTAATCCTTATTTTTAAAACATTATCTAAATTCTGAAGCTGATTATGAGGGCACAGTTCAAAAATCCAAATGCAGATTTTTCATGCAACAGTTTGCTCAGTACTCTTTCACTGACCAATAAGGGTTCCTTTCCATAACTCATTCAGTGATCACTCATTTAAAAAAAAATTTAATCACTCACTAATATTTAGTGGATCATACAGATAGTTACATTTAAAGCTTACAAAAATAAACCAATTAGTCTAGTACACTTACCATCTGCATGAATCTTGAAACTAAAGGAGTAAAAAAAATTTTAATTTAAATATGCAGTTCAAATTATTTTAAAGAAAAATGGATTCCTGAAAGTATGAAATAAGAATTTCTTCTATAAAAACAGATACAGACTTACAGTTTCACAAGTAAGACATCTGGTTTCATTAGTTAATGTTCCCTGAAAGATCTCATGAACCCAGGTTGGGTCTGGTGTGCTGTTATTGTTTTCATTGTCGATACTGCCATTAGGTAGACGGCCATTTTGTTTGTCCTGTTTTCTCTCTTCTTGTAAAATATCAGCAATTGTGTTTAAAAGATAGTTTAAGAACTCATGCGCATCCTGCTGCATGTAGTTGTCAAAGAGCTCTAAAACATGAAGATAAAATAAAATAACCAACTAATTAAAATTTTGAATAAAAAGTCCAATATAAAACTTTCAAAATATAAGTCAAAATATGGCATTAGCAGAACTTATTTCATAGACATATGCAATCAATTTTAACCTTAAAAAACCAGTGAAAGCAATAAAATTAAAAAACGTTGGCAGAACAAGGTACTGTATAGATATTTGGATAAATAATACAGATAAGAAGGGATTCTAAGCAGAAGTTTATGATGTAAACACATATGGGAAAGAGAAAAGTGTACTTATGGAAAAGGCATTAAGTCCAATACAATGCCTTGAAATACAAGTAAATATTGATTAGGATGCTTTCCCAAAATCCCCCCCCCCCCCCCCCCCCATGTACTTGTTACAAACACAAATAAGGTAAAATTACATTAAAATGATTGCAGAGCACAATCTATTAAAATCTAAAGAAAAGGACACCATATAATATAGTTCAATGCCACATTTACATTCAAAGAAGTCCTAAGATGTTAGGCAAAAGTTGACATTGGTCTATGTCAAGAATCATGCATGACTAAGTACTTCTATAACATTACCCATAAAACCTATATTCCACAAACTTGAAGTCTGGGGATGAGAAAGTGCAGTGGTATAGAAGAACAGTCTTTTTATCCCATGTGTTTAGAAACTACCTAGAGTCAACAGGCTCAAAAGAAAGTCTTAAAGAACAGGTTTATGCATAGGATTGTTCAGTCAAAGCAGACACACAGCTTTGAACAGAGAAACCTTTCCTGACTCTGCTTTCATCAAAGGAAGAATATGACCACTATGGTCTCAAAGGCCAAGTCAACAGAGGTGCAAGGTTTTTGTTTTTAATTACCATCACTACACTATCACAAGTGCAGCTCCATAGGTGCTAGCAATGATGAAAACACTAGTATAAACAAGGCCCCTACAGATATCAGTATTTTTAATGAGTATCATCTAACTGTCGAAAGCCATTTTAAAAATGGTGGTAGCTGCAGGTCCCTTGCCTACATATGGCTAAAAGGACTTAGCCTAAGACTCAAACTGGACAGGAGCAGTGACAGGCAATCACTAAACTTGTTCTCTCTTTTTGAGCAGTAGTTGACTCAAAGGAATTGCACATTCTCCTTAATTACCAACTCAAAAATTTTCTATGCCTGCATAACTAATCATGCAATTCCTCCAATGGGGCTCTATATATTGGCTACATAGCAGAAATTGTGTTTCTACCTAACAAATTACAAGTTGCAACTTGTTCTTAGTCCAAGACTATAGAGCAAATGTTAGCCCATAAGTGAAGGAATGGTACCATAAATAGAAAGATTAACAAAAATAGGTCATCAGTTTCATATGGTGCTAGTAAAAGGATATTCACAGAAACCTACATTTCAGGAGAGTATATTTGAAGCTACATGGAAACTGTCACAGATCATCTACAAACCAAGCAGCTTCCAGGCCAAGACACAGAGTTGAAAATAAAGTAGATCCCAGATCAAACCAGCCAAAATGTTTTTATTTAATTGAATATTTAAATTGAGGTGGCATAACAAATACTGCAAGTCTCCTGAAGGCAAAAGGCTTGCCTCAGAGGTTCTTAGCAGTATTGCATCCAGATTCCAGTGTGGTGCATGTCCGATCAACAGTCTGATATTAAGCACAGTGGATCTAATCCCACCGATGTCCTTGCTATTATTTAATTCAAGGATTAGGAGCGATTGGAACAAAAGGAAACAGAACACCTCCACTTGGTTAATGAGAAACTGCAAACTTGAAACATGTCAGGTTTTAAACTCTTCTCATTACATATACGGTTTAGTACGTATTTTAACGCAAGAATAGAGTCTAGAAATGATATAGAAGTAAGAGATTCTGAGCACAGAAAGAGTCTTGATATAAGAGCTGTGAGGATATAAAAGTCTTCATGAGTGATTGGTCTTACTTGATGAAAGTAGAATCTAGACTGGGTTTTCCTTTGTGTGTATCCTCTTTCATGTATTGTATATCAATCCAAACATACACCTACTATTCCTAGGAGACATATTTTTATAAAGAATTCTCCATTGTAGCTATTAAAGTTATTCATGGACGTACTTTTTTAAAAAGTTAATTCGTCAGAGTGATTAATACTTCAGTGTACATCACCACCACCACCAAGAATCAGCCACCTAGCAATTCAGCAGTCGTCTCCTATAAGTCTATAACGAGGTGGCCAAACTTACTGAACCTCTAAGAGCTGCATACAACAATCTTCAGAAGTTTGAGAGTTGGGGCACACCTGCCGGGGCTCGGGGCTTCAGTGGGAGCTGGATTGAAGCCCCGAGCCCCAACAGGCACCTCCCATGGAATACAGAATCTTTTTTACTTCTAAATCCCCATTTGAATAAATCCCAAAGTCAGCAGTGATTAGAAGCTGATGGTTTGATGAGTGAGGTGATGGTGTTGTGTGATATGTACACTTAAAATACCATTATAGTTATCACCTTTGCTGGCAGTCTCAGCAGAAATGCCAAGAGCTAAATGGCATGGAGATTGAACTATTCTTTCACCTCTACAGACAGTCACTCTTCATCAGATTTAAGATTCATTGGTGTGTAGCGTAAGAAAGCTTGCACAACACTACTACCTATGCTATAACTGCTCTATTGATAAAGAGATCTTCTTCCAGGTTTGAAAAATCTTAGCATTTTTCATGAGCAGTAAATTCACTTAAGGCTAGAAATAAATTATTATGCTATCCTAGAGTAGTTTGTCTTTATTATGCAGTCTTCATAATATTTGAATATGTGAAAAACATTTGGAAATATGTCCCAGGATGGATTATACAGGTATGAAAATTTCTACAATATGAAAGTGTTGTCGTATTTAACTTGTATAAACCAAGCAGGGAAGTTTTTATTGAAAGATTATCTGTAATTAATTTAAATAAAATGTACAATTTACAAGCATTATTTTATATTTGTTCCAAATCAAGTAGCAGATCTATTAAAGGCTTTAATTATATTTTAATACATAGAATTATTTCATAAACCATCCTAATCAACAAGCATTACAAATACCAAATAGGAAGTGTTAAATATCTGAAATTACGCGTTTCCACAACACTAGGATAATTATTGAAAGTGTTACTGATTTTTAAAGAAGAATATATTAATCCTAAATAGAAATGTTAAGTCGTAAGTGTTATATAAACATGAACTGAACTCAATGTAAGCTATAATCTTTCAGTCAAAGCCTTAACATGGAAAGACAGACCTTCGGGGCTCATTTCACACTTTAATTATTTCATTTAATTATAAATATTCTTACTAATAAGCGCTAACATTCTGGAACAACTAAAGGTTTCAAATTATTTGATTTTAACATATGAACGAAGATATAAGAACGGCCATTCTGGGCCAGACCAAAGGTCCATCTAGCCCAGTATCCTGTCTTCCGACAGTGACCAATGCCATGTGCTTCAGAGGGAATGAACAGAACAGGTAATCAAGTGATCCATCCTGTCACCCATCCCCAGCTTCTGGCAAAAGAAACTGCCTCTGCCCAGTTTCAAACCAGGGCCCTTTTGCGTGTTAGCCAAACATGATAACCACTATACTACATATAAATACAGATGTGAGATAAATAACATAGCACAAAAGCTTTAAAAACAGTGATTTTTGACAAAAATCTACAAATTCCACACTGGCAAAACTGCCTCCAATATTTGCTAAGCACTGACTGAGCTCAGTTCTATATGAGACGGGGGAGAAGAAAAAAAAAAAAAGACATGGACCTTGCCTCAGGAAGGCCAAAGTATTTCTCAAATGCGGCCACCAGGGGCTTTTCTTGTGGCCACAGGCTTCTGGGCAGTGATGGGGGGAGGGACAAAGCAGCGGCCCCTCCCCTGGGGCTGCCAGGAGGGGTTGGGCTCTGACCCCCTCAGGAGCCACAAACACTGGAGAAACAGACCGCTGTTGTGAGTTCTCCACCTTCCTGGGGGTGGTAGGGTTGAAGCTGGAACCCTCAGCCCCGGGTTGGTGGGGGCAGGCTCTGTCCCCTGATTACAGGGCTTCGGGCTCACCACTCCCCCGCCCGCCACCCACACCCCCTGGCTTGAAGTGATTTCCATTATATACAGGATTTCAATGGTTCCCAGCATCCCCACTATAAAAACTGTTCCAGTGCCCCAGCCCACTGCCTCCCTCCCACCTCCCCATCCAAGATTTAATTTGTCCTCTGGCTTGACAGGGCTGAGTAAATCTGCTGTGAAAAGTAGGGCTACCATGTCCGGATTTCCCCGGACATGTCCGGCTTTTCGGTCTATAAATAGCCGTCCAGGGGGGGGATTTCTAAAAAAATCTAAAAATGTCCGGGATTTCCCCCCGGTCGGCTATTTATAGACAGAAAAGCAGCAGCCAAGTGCCGCTCGGTAGCCAAAGCCCCTTCCCTGCTCCCCCCATCCCCTGCAGCCTTACCACGCCGTCCGGCCCCGCAGCTGTCTTCCCCCTCCTCCCCTCCCCGGAATGCTCCACCCCCCTGCTCCTCCCCCTCCCCTGCTTCCCGCGAATCAGATCTTCGCGGGAAGTCTGAAAAGAAGCAGGGGCAGGCGGGAGACAGCAGCAGGTAAGCTGGGGCGGGGGGAGGGGGGGAGGAGGAGAGCTCCGGGGAGGCGCGGACCTGGCCGAGCGGCTCCCTCCGGCCCGGGCTGAGCAGCGCCCGGTGGCCCCATTGGCTCCGGCCCTGGCCCCAGCGCCTCGGGCTCCAGGGCACCAGCCCCGGTTCCGGCCGAGAGCGCCAGCCCGGCACCAGCGGCTCCGGCCCGGCTCCGGCCCCAGAACGGCGGTCCCAGCCCGGCCCCAGCCGAGCGGCGCCTGCTGAGCACCCCCAGCCCCAGCTGCTCCTGCCCGGCCTGGCTCGGGCCCCAGGGCTGCGGCCCTGGTTCCGGCCGAGCGCGCTGGCCCAACCCCAGCCGAGCACCTCCGGCCTGGCCCCAAGCCCCGCGACCCCGGCCGGAGCTCCGGCCGGAGCGCAGCCCGATTCCTGGGCTCGCTAAAGCCGGCCCTGGTCGGGGGAGGGATGGGGGGAGTGGATGGGGCAGGGCAAGGCAGGGGCGGGGCTAGAGCAGGGCACCTCCCCCCGCCAGTGTCCTTTTTTTTTGCTTGTGGAAATATGGTAACCCTAGTGAAAAGTGGTATTTGTATGTTTGTTAATATCACTTTTCACTGCCTCCCAGCTAGCTAACAAGTCTGCTGCTGTGAAAAGTGATATTAACAAGCATACAAATACCACTTTTCACAGAAGCAGATTTATTAGCTAGCAAATCTAAAAACCAAAAACAACCAAAAAAGCAAAAGAAACAACAAAAAACAACATGAAAAACTCCTTATTTGTGTTTCTATTCTGTTTAGGTCCAGTAAAGAATAGAGACAACTGTACATTATTTTTATTATTGAGTCTGCAAAAAAAAAACCCTACATAAATAAATTACTATGATTTGGTCATGTATACAGTAACTCCTCACTTAAAGTCGTCCCGGTTAACGTTGTTTCGTTGCTGATCAATTAGGGAACATGCTCGTTTAAAGTTGTGTAATGCTCCCTTCTAACGTCGTTTGGCAGCCGCTTGCTTTGTCTACTGCTTGCAGGAAGAGCTGCCCATTGCAGCTAGCTGGTGGGGGCTTGGAACCAGGGTGGACCAGCAGCCCCCATATCAGCTCCCCCTGTCAGCTCCCCGCTCCCTTAAGTTCCCTGTGCAGCAGCTGCCTGCAGTTCAGCTGTGTACCTCCCCCCACTGCCATGTGCTGCTCCTGCCCTCTGCCTTGGAGCTGCTCCCCGAGACTCCTGCTTGCTGTGTGGGGGGGGGGGGTGAGAGGGGGGCTAATGTCAGGGTGTTCCCCTCCCCCTGCACCCCGCTTACCCCATCTTCAATAGAGCAGGGGGGACACACCAGGGCTCAGGATGGAGGGAGCTTGTAGCAGCTGTGGTCTCAGCAAGCTGATCTAATTAACAAGGCAGTGTATTTAAAGGGGAAAGCGCATATCTCCCTCCATTCCTGCTACCTTGTAAAGTGAGAGACTTAACCCTTGAGGGCTCAGCCAATTGCTAGTTCATCATTTAGCAGTAAGGGAAATATCCCACCGTCTGACTCCTCCACCTCAAACAAGCTTCACAATCATCATCACTGTGTACCAGTATTAAATTGTTTGTTCAAAACTTCTAGTGTGTGTGTGTAAGTAAAAAATACAGTCTTGTCTGGTGAAAAAAATTTCCCTGGAACCTAACCCCCTCATTTACATTAATTCTTATGGGGAAATTGGAGTTGCTTAACATCGTTTTGCTTAAAGTCGCATTTTTCAGGAACATAACTACAACGTTAAGTGAGGAGTTACTGTATGTGCATATTTATTTGTTTTTCCTAAAGTTAATTAAGTATTTTAGGAAAAAAATGTCATAGCTGCCACTGCACTCTGAGGCCACCAAAAAAGTGTTGTGAGAATCCCAGAGTATGTGTCGTCTTTTCTGTCTTTTACAGCACCGAGCATGCTGCTTGTACTTAGCAAATATATTTTACATTAAAAAAAAATATTTCAACCTTTCAATTTCAGTATTAAGTCACAATTGATGTAATTAGTATACACAGAATAAAAGAAAAATTAAGAAGGTACCATTTTCTTTTCGTAATCTTGTTATAAACTTCTTTGGAGGTATTACTCCAACTTTTTTCTTCTGTGTAGCTATGCTGTGGAAGAGATCAGCTAAGCATGTAAGGAGGTTCTCTTTTTTTCTGGGTTGACTCTTGTATGCTAGGACTTTTTCTCGAAATGGTCGACAAAAATAAAGTGCCTGAAGAACTGAATTGCAGTAGCACGTGTTCCCAAACTATAAAATAAGAAAAAAAAAATTACCTTGTATTGTATTTCTACAGTGATGCAAGGTTAAAAAAACTAAATATAAACATACAAGCAAGGGCAAATTTTCTGGAAGGCATTTCTTGTTGATTTTCAGATAGTAAAAAATCTCAGGCAGCAACATAAATAATGGGGAGCACTCCAGATAATTTGAACTGATACTAGATTGTGTCTTCCTGTTTGTAATAATTGGGGTATGTATGTGTTAACAATGCTTTACAGTGCTGTGGAACTGTAAAGTATTCAATAAGTGCTCAGTATTTACCTAGTGCCAAAAATGTACACAGCACAGTATAAAGAGTAAACTGAAAAAATGAGAATCTCTGCCACATATATCAGTCAAAACACCACTCAGTACAATAAAGAAAGAACAGTATAAAATGTAGTGTTTATGGCTGAAATTCTTCATGGTACAGGTAGGTGGGTCTTCAAGAAAAATGCATGGTCCTGGGCAAGTCTCCCCATCTGTAAAATGGAAACATCATATATCTGCCACACATGGATTCTGTGAAATGTAGTCAATTTGTACAGCATTTTAAAAATGAAACATACTATTTTCATCATATAAATTGTAGGATCATAGAAATGTAAGGCTGGAAGGGTCCTCAAGAGGCCATCGAGGTCATCCTCCTGAGCTGAAGCAGGACCATGAATACCTAAGAGTACCCCTGATAGGCGTTGTCTAACATGCTCTTAAAAACCTCCAGTGAGAAGGATTCCACAAGCTGTCTCGGCAACCTATTCCAGTACTTAACTATCCTTATCATTAGAAAGGCTTTTCTAATATCTAACCTAAACCTCCTTTGCTGCACATTAAGCCAGATACTTCTTGTCTTACCTTCTGTGGACACAGAGAACAATTGATCATCATCATTATAGCAGCCCTTACCATACTTATCAGCAACCCCCACCTACCTCCTTTTTCTAAAGACTAAATATACTCTATTTTTTAAATCTTTTCTCATAGGTCATGCTTTCTAAACCTTTTATCATTTTTGTTGCTCTCCTCTGGACTCTTTTCAGTTAGTTCACCTCTTTCCTAAAGTGTGGTACCCAAAACTGGATACACTATTCATCACAGAATATTAGCCTTTTTTTTGCAACGGCATCATACTGATGACTCATTCTATTTGTGATCCACTATAACCCCTAGACCCTTTTCTGCAGCGCTACTGCCTAGCCAGCTATTCCCCATTTTGTATTTGTGCATTTGAATACTTTGCACGTTTTTATTGAATTTCATCTTGTTTATTTCAGACAAATTCTCCAAATTATCAAGGTTCTTTGGAATTCTAATCCTGTCCTCTGTAGTGCTTGTGATCCCTCTCAGCTTCATGTCATCTACAAATTTTATAAACATATTCTCCACTCCATTATCAAAGTAATTAATGAAAATGTTATGTATTAGTGCATGTTGGTAGTTGGTTTCAAACTATAGGGATGTACTATGATAAAGCCACTAATACAAACAGTTATCTAGGGACAAGTTGAGAGCATGTTCTCAACCCAGAATGGTCTAAAAGTTCCTTAGTCATTGCTTTGGGAGTATGGGGAAAGTGATTGCCTTTGGCAGTTCTCATTTGGGACTGCATGACCAACAAAACCACCATATACAATGCAGTCAGAAAATTGGAGACCAAAGAAAGACATCTGGTTTCCATATTTTCAGTTGATTTCAAGTACAATTATTAATAGAATATATATCTATTGCTAAATGCTTTAAAGAGTCACGGCTCCTACAATTTAGAATATAGGTAATCAGGATGAACACAGCCCATTTAAAAAAACAAAAATAAAACCAACCCCAATTCCCTACCCCGTCCCCACCCCCAAGATTATTCTCCAGGAAAGGCTGCTTGCAGTTGCTCAAAGTTTTTAATATTACATGAAAGATACTGATCACTTTATAATCAAGAATATCCAAAACAATTGAATTTTTGTTTAAATATAAAATGAACATTTTTAATTAATCAGTGAATTTCAAATATACCTTTCAAAATTTCCTACAGAAATCAGAGCAACAAAGTTGTAGATAAAAGGTTTCACAATTTCCAGATTGGAAAAGTATACACACTGGTGACATATTAATTGGAAGAGTAAAACACATAGAAGGACAGAGAACCAAAATGCAGAGTGAGCAGGAGATATTGAAGCTATGGGCCAAACTGAAAGAGATGAAATTCAATATAAATCAAGGTAAAATTATACATCTATGGAAGGAAAAAGCAGACTGACTCTCAGCTTTTCAGAGTCTCTCTCTGATCAATTTTGAGAGACAAGGGGGCAACTGTAGATCGCAAGCTAAATGTTAATTATTCATATTATTATTATTTGTATTATCATAGCACCTAGGAATGCCAGTCATAGACTAGGACCCCACTGTGCAGCAGTGTTGTTTACAAAGACCACCACATTTGGGGAACCACATGTACAGGTAGAGAAGAAATACAATGAGACCATACCTACGCTACTGGCTATTAGTTTGAGCTCCCATTTTCGGTAGATGCTAAGAAACTATAAACAGGATAACAAAGTGATACATGGATTAGAGGATGAGTCAAATGAAATGAGCCAGAGCACACTAAGTTTATTTAGTCTGAAAAAGATCACCATATGCTAGTAATACCTTCAAAGTCACAATTTAAATGAAGGTATGGAACTGTTTCATCTCAGGGCAGATATACACTAAAGAGTTAAGTCAATCTAGCTACGTCCCTCAGGGGTGTGAAAAATCCACACCCCTGAGCAACACAGTTAAGATGACTTAAGGCCCCATGTACACAGAGCTAGGTCGATACAATAATTCTTCCATTGCCCTAGCTATCGCCTTTCAGGGAGGTGGATTACTTATGTCAAAGGGAGAACCCCTCCTATCAGCATAGGTAGCATCTACACTGAAGTGCTACAACGGTGCAACTCGGCAGCTGTGCCACTGTAGAGTTCCAAATGTAGACAAGCCCTCAGATGATATCAGGAATCTGAAACTAAGAAAAAGTTTAGCCTAGATATTATGAAAAACTTTACTGGACAAAGACTATCAAGATTTCCTCAGGCAGAACCATGAAAATTATTTACCGTTTCATCGTTCACCACAGGGTTCTGAATATCAGCAACAAAACTAACTAGGAGAGCTCTCCTGTTGGCATAGAGCCAGCTTTTTAGTTCTGTGGAGGGTCACAGCCTGGTGTCACTTGTGAGATACTTTCCCCCTGAACCGGTCAAAACATTTGCTGTATGCCTTCCCTCCAGTTCTGCTCCTGCCCAAGGTCTTGTCTAAGATCAAACAAGATGGTGCTCACATCATACTAAAAGCCCCAGCATAGCCTCACCAACATTGGTTTTTGTCTCTACTAGTCCTATCAGTCAGAATCCCTATGATGCTTCTAAGAAATGCGGATGTGGTCTCCCAGGACAACAGCTGCTCCTCCATCTGACAGCATGGATGCTAAGTGGCTAACTTCCTTGGAAAGTCTTTGCTTTAAAGAAGAACGCCATGCAAGCCAAATGGATGGGCCCAGACTTCTTTGATATTTATATGGAGAGTGAGGTCCTAGGATGACCAAAGCCTCTGTGTCTGATGGGGGCCTAAATGAGCCACAAACACCCGTGGGTTGTTATGAGACAATGTCAGGAGAGGAAAAGGCCCATGTACACCACAGTGCAAATGAACTGTGGCCAGTTTAATAAGAAACACTCAAGAGAGAGAGGAAAGTTATTTGGGAAAACCTGATTGAGACAGGACCCACTGAAGTCAGGCCTGCGTAAGGTTACCATCAGAGGCAGTATGCCTTTAGATGCATGTAGACTGTCATTTTAAAATCTTTTTTCTCTAGATCCTTTACTCCCATTGCAAAATAAACAATATTTTTGTTTTAAGAGGACTGTTTTATCACCAGATACCACTGGTCACAGACTCCTGAAATGAAGAACCACAGGTTTCCAAATTCAGTCAGACTTGCTGGGTAAGATCAGTTATTACACACAGAATCATAAAAATGTACATCTGAAATGGACCTCAAAAGGTCATCTAGTCCATCCCCCACATGTTAAAGCAGGACCAAGTATAACTAGACCATCCTTAGACATTATACTATATAGCCCAGGGCTTGCTCTAAGAGTGGGAGAACTGCAGAATTCCACCCCAAAATAGGTAAAAGGTAGAAAAGCCATTAGTCAAAAGCCACTTGAGGGACTGCATTCAGAGAGACAAGAAAGGGGATAGAGATGCAGCTGGCCTTGTAATCATGACATATTAACCAAAACTTCTGGACACAAGTTAAGGTTATTGCGTGTTGCGTGTATGAAAAATAACTGGGTCATCACAACATAATCAATTTTGAGCTACGGGTAAACAAGCAATGACATAACAAACCTTCTCTCTGCAGAGAAGCAGAATAAAGACTATGAAACAGTTATATTTGTCAATGCAATGGTACCCCTGAGAAAAAGATGAGAACATTTTTGAAAACTTTGAAGGAAAGAAGTTTACAAGTGTAAGATAGCTTGTAGAACTGACAACACAAGCACCAATACCTCACTATTATTGTGTTTCATTATTTCCCAACTAAATTAATACCAAGCTGAAAGGAAACTGTTTCATCCTTCTACATGAAATAGGAAAAATGGTGATTTAAACTCATGCATGGTCTGAACACATCTAGATTGCATTTAATCAGCAGGCATTCTTGTTGGCCTTCATGAAATGTAAATAATGGAGGGAAAGGGGAGGGGCACCCCAACCAGGGGCTCCTACCTTTCACTGGGCTCCAACTTCTAGTCCGCCAGGCTGGAGAAAGACCAGACTTCCTCTTCCCCTGCACGGCCCCTCATGGGGGGAGATCAGACCCACCTCCAGGTATCTCTCCTGGCTGCAGAAAGCTCCAAGCCTGCGCTGCCCTCGGAGTTGGGCTCTGAAGGCAGCCGCTACAGCGCTTCCTGGAGCTGGGGAAGGTTCCTGGAAGTGGTTCTGATATCCCCCATACTGCTGGGAGCGCCCAAGCTGGAGGCTCCTAGCTATTAGTCCAGGCCGGGCTGGGGAGGGACAGGACTTCTTCCCCTGCACAGCCACTCTGGGTGGTGGGGGAGGGGGGAAGAGATCAGACCCACCTCCAGGTACCTCCTCCAGCTGCAAGAAGCTCCGCAGCTGAATAAGCCTAGCTCTGAAGGCAGCACAGCTGTGGAGCTTCCTGCAGTCGGGGGAGATACCCAGAGGTGGGTATGATCTCCCTCCCGAGCAGCCATGCAGGGGAAGAGGAAGTTCTGCCCCTCCCCAGCCTGGCCCAAACTAGCAGCTAGGAGCCCCCAGGTGGGGCACGCCCAGCGGCACGGGGGAGATCAGACCCACCTCCACCTCCAGGAAACTTCCCCAGCTACAGAAAGCTCCACAGCTCTGAAGGCAGCACAGAAGTGAGGGTGGCAATCCCCCGCCCAAAAACAGCTTTTCAACCCCCATGACCCTCTTTTGGGTCAGGACCCCTACTATTACAACACCGTGAAATTTCAGACATAAACATCTGAAAATGTGAAGTTGAACAATTTTAAAACCCTGAGGCCGTGAAATTGAACAAAATGGACCGTGAATTTGGTAGGGCTATACTGTCAGACTCACTTTCTTAAAGTGTAGCAGATCTGTGGAACATATCCTAGCAAGAAGCAGAAGATTACACTACAGTAGCAATTCCTGTTAACAGCAATTAAAAATAAACTTACTTCTTTAAGAAACAAAGCATTGTGGCCTATGTTTATTCATCTTTTTTTACTACTATATATTCTGAAACCCACAACCATTTTAAAATATCTTTAAATCTGTTCAGCTGCAACTAGACAACTAAAAATATCCACTGTGTTTTTAGATCTGTGTGATTTAAATGCTCCCCCAAATCTCTCTCACAGACCCCGCTTTCAGACCAACAAGGAAGTTTTAAAACTGCAACACCACTTAGTTTCACACAGAATGTTTCCAAGATGGTAGCAATTCCAGTTGGAACGATCAGAAGCATTTCAATGTACACCTCTACCCCGATATAACGTGACCTGATATAACACGAATTCGGATATAACGCAGTAAAGCAGTGCTCCGGGGGGGGGAGGGGGCTGCGCACTTCGGCGGATCAAAGCAAGTTCGATATAACGCGGTTTCACCTATAACGCGGTAAAAATTTTTGGCTCCCAAGGACAGCAGAGTTGTATTATTTTTCCCATTTGCTTTTTTAGAGTGCATATATTTAAACATAAGCCATTGTGCTTTCATTTAAATATGCTTCTTTTCCAATCTGAGATTCTGCCACCATCTTAGAACAGCTGTGTGGTAGACTCCTGTAGCTCATGCAGAAACAAGCAGCATTTGGTGCTCTGGTCCATCCAAGGTGAAGGTGCTATATTATATTACTGTTTGTCTTTACAATGCCCTCATCACCAAGAAACAAAATTTAAAAACTCTTACATCACTTCAGGCAGTGCTACATAAGTCTTCTAATGAGATGCAGTTTTCACAATTTGCCAACTGTCAGTTATGTAATTAAATTTTATTCCTGAATAGAATATGCTGAAAATTTCCAGTCTTGCTCTCTTTTTCGGGCTGAATATATTTTGAAAGTTTCAACAAAAACTGCAACCTTTATTCAGGCATTTCTGCACTTCTGAGTGCTTTAACACAGCAACCATAGCGGTAAGATTTTTTGTATGTAATTATTTATATAGACTGTGATAACAACCATAGCATGCTATGTACTTTTCTACTTTAGAGTATAGTAATCTGAAAAAGTAAAAGTTTAAAGATGAGTAAAATACAAGAAACATGAGAAATAGTGCTATATTTATTCTAACATATATACATACTGTACCTTTATGAGATGCTTAACTTTTAACATTAAGTTTACAGCAAGTCAGATTTCAACAATTTTTTTCCATTGACATCATATTAGTGTTATACACAATTTGCTCCACCTCAGTTCTATCACTTAGTATTTCAAAGCAATCAAATTATCAATTGAAACTTACGTTAACTAAACCAAAATAGTGCTCATTGACTGGAAACTGTTCCGGACCAATCTCTTTCTCTAAAGTTGAGGCATTGGCGCCCTGGAAAATAAAACAATGCAATCTTAATATTCACAGGTTCTATGGTTCTACCTATCTATTTATAGTTCTAGCTACGTCCACAGTGTAGACATGTAGTGTAACTAAAGAAGGAAAAATTAATTAAATGGCAGTTTCTACCAGGATACAAGGCCAGCTCTGCAATGGTCAATGTGAATAACTGCACACACAAATGGCCAGTTACGCATCTAACTGGTAGCGTATGCACAAGTGAGGCATGCAAATACATACCCACGGTTCTGAAAATCTGCGTCAAATGTCTAATATGAACAACAGTCACTTGTTTAAAAACAAAAACAGGTGCTCAATTGCTTTTGAAGTAGGATGTATTACTGTGGAGGACTGTCAGCCTCTATACTTGGAATTAACTGCCTATATTCCACAGTGCACATTTATTCTACCAAAATTAAGTAATTGTTTAAGGCAATTTTAAACCAAACAAATTGAACATACCGGAAAAGCTGACTGAGTTTGAACTTTCTGATCCATCAAAATAAATAAATAAAAGTTTTGGTCAGGATTTGGTACTTATTCCTAGGCACTCCATAACCTGGGGCTGATCCAGCCAAAACAAGCATGCACAACTTTCAGGCCATAAATACTCTGGATTTCCTAGACTCTGTAACAACAGTTACGCCTTAGTCAGGTTAAGAAAGGCAAAGAAATGCAAAAAACAATGGATTAGGTGTCTGTCCTGCCTCCTTCCCAGGGGGTGGTTTTTATGACCCAGCCCAGTCATTATATATGGCAATTAAAATTTTGGCAATGATTAGAGAGAGAAATAACTGAGTATGCTTAGCTAGTCCTAATTAGCCAGCAACACAGAAAAAAGTAGCCATTTTAATTGTTGGTGTTTTTCTGGCTGACACCTCCCTGACTAAGTTCCATTCTGGAGAAGAATTAAATTGCCATCTCCTCCCCTCCCCCCACCCATACAGCTCTTAAAGGAGGCAGAACATCTAGCAAGTATTCCTCAAGACTACACCCCATTAATATTTTTAAAACTCCCAAAATATAGCATCATCTAACCTCTCTTGCACCAAGACAGACAGGATTATGTTATATCATTTTACAATCCCTTAAAAGATATTTATTTCTGTGTATGTTCTGGTTACTTCACCTTTAGTATGATATTTACTGACCTGCAAAAGTCACATGTATTTTTGAATAACTATAAATAAAGCACACCAAAACAGTAAGACATTAGTTCTTTTCTGAGCAGCATTTGCACGCATCTATCATTGCAAAGCAATGGACCTCAGGCCACATGACTTTTACCCATTTCAGAAACAATGAAATGCCTGGAATGTACTATTATACCAGGATTACATTTTACAGAAGATAGGGAATGGAGATCATCTACAAGGCGCAAAGAGGCTTGTTTGTTTTATTAATATTAACATTAGAATTCTGCAATCTTCAAACTGGTTTTCTATAAAGTTATATCATCTTGGCCTAATGATCGCCATCTCAGCACTAACATGTGGGAGACATTATGGTACAATATGAAGCAGTAAAGGCTGGAACTGCTGCAAACTTTGTCAAATAAGGACAGAATATAATGTTGCTGCTTATTTTGGTGATGTTTTTATCTGGCACACTTTTCTATTGGACTCTGTCACCCTACTGCTTCCCTCACCTCCAATACACCAGTTCCCGTCAACAAAGGAAGTTAGGTTGGTTTAGCATGATTTGGCTATCACTTATCACCTTATCCTCTAGGTCAATGGTTCTCAAACTTTTGTACTGGTGACCCCTTTCACATAGCAAGCCTCTGAGTGTGACCCCTTATAAATTAAAAACACTTTTTTATATATTTAACATTATAAATGCTGGATGCAAAGCGCTGTTTGGGGTGGAGGCTGACAGATCGTGACCCCCAAGAGGTCCCGACCGCCAGTTTGAGAACCTCTGCTTTAGGTGCTTACAATTTAATAATTTGTTTCAGTATCTTTCTGGGTAATGAAGTTATGATGACTGTGCTTTAATGGCCTGAGTCTTCCTTTTTCCCTGCTTTAAAGATAATAGTAGAGCTCTGCTATACTTAAGGTTAAGACCAGCTTCCTGTTTAAAGCTTGACTGTTCCAAGTGCTCTAAAATCCTTACGGTTACTCGGATTGCCTTGAAATCTGTGCGCCTCATGTGGGTTCAGTGTAGGGTCAGTAATCCAAATTTGGGGCCATTTGGATAAACTCTCTTTTTGGAAGAGTTGTTTCTTAAAGTTGACCTATTCTGGCACACAGAGATCAAACCAGTACTCAGATCATCACATCAGGATCTATGAAGCTCAAGGGTTACCCCAACAGAGTGCATGGCACCCCCGAGCCCTTCTGGGGGAATCAAATTGGAATGTTATTTAAAAGAGAGTTTGCTTCTCCAGATAGGCCCACTCCAAGCAGTTCTAGTGCTCACACATCAAATGGATTACACTGTGCACAGGTAGAGAGAGCAGCTAACAATCTGAAAAACTCTCTACATCACAGAACCTGTGTGGCTCTGATGGTATGTTACAGTCATCAAATCCGAACACAGGCACAGAGTATGAATCCAAAGTAGAGCAGAAATCTGAAATTGAAAGAAGGGATAATTTTGCTGTAATGTGGCTCTGTAAAAGGGTTTTTTTCATTCTGGGGAAATGTAATCAGAGTACAACAAAAATTTCAGAAGGCACTGAAACTACTTTTTGAAAAGAAAAACTACACAAGCAAATGCTCGCTAGGAGGGCAGGATGACTGGGGTGAAAGTAGGTGGGAATAAGGGGAGTGGACCTGGAGGAGGGGGGCAAGTGACATGGGGACTGGGGAAGAATAGGGATAGGAGTGCCTGTCAGCTCTACACTCCCCTCCTGAGTGTGCTACAATATGGAAGCCCCCAGCCCATCTACAGGGATATAATCCCCCCCTTCCCCAAGTGATCTGGAAAGGCTTGCCTTTCTGGGGAGGGTCTGACCCCTCTCCTCACCCCTTCATGTGAGCTGGGATTTGGGGGTCCCTGCCCCCCAAAAGTATCTGAGCCTCACTCCCTGCCCTGCTGGGTGAGGGCCAGAAACTCAGGGGTTTGATTCTCTCCCCCCCGCTTCCTGACACCATTCATGTAAGCTGGAATACGGGATGTCTTGTCCCTCTAAGGGCTTCAGGGCCCATCTCACTACCTCCTCGCATATAAGTCAGGATCTGGGAAAGCCCTGCCCCTCTATGTGGGGAGCTTCGAATAGGCATGCTTGGAGCATGCACCAAGAACACATTGCTGATGCTGGGGTGAGGGGCTGAGAACAGACATGCTTGACGCATATCACAGCCTCTCCAGCATTGTGTAGAGTGGATGGGAACACTCACGGATATAAATGGAGTAAATCATAGAATATCAGGGTTGGAAGGGACCTCAGGAGGTCATCTAGTCCAACCCCCTGCTCAAAGCAGGACCAATACCAAACTAAATTATCCCAGCCAGGGCTTTGTCAAGCCTGACCTTAAAAACCTCTAAGGAAGGAGATTCCACCACCTCCCTAGGTAACCCATTCCAGTGCTTCACCACCCTCCTAGTGAAAAAGTTTTTCCTAATATCCAACCTAGACTTCCCGCACTGCAACTTGAGACCATTACTCCTTGTTCCGTCATCTGCCACCACTGAGAACAGTCTAAATCCATCCTCTTTGGAACTCCCTTTCAGGTAGTTGAAAGCAGCTATCAAATCCCCCCTCATTCTTCTCTTCTGCAGACTAAAGAATCCCAGTTCCCTCAGCCTCTCCTCATAAGTCATGTGCTCCAGACCCCTAATCATTTTTGTTGCCTTCTGCTGGATTCTTTCCAATTTTTCCACATCCTTCTTGTAGTGTGGGGCCCAAAACTGGGCCTCTCTCACCAGCCTTGTTAGGAACTACACATTGCAAACATTTCAAAGCATGACCATTATCACCGCTCCACTATAACAAAATGTACAGGAGAAGCACTTAGATATCACATAGTAACTGTGTAGCTTAGTGGAAATACCACTAGACTGGCCTGGATGATCTTGGGCAAGCCACATCACTTCTCTGTGCCTCAGTTTCCCATGTGTAAAATGGAGATAATAAGAACATAAGAATGGCCATACTGGGTCAGACCAAAAGTTCATCTAGCCCAATATCCTGTCTTCTGACAATGGCCAATGCCAGGTGCCCCAGAGGGAATGAACAGAACAGGGAATTATCAAGTGATCCATTCCCTGTCACTCATTCCCAGCTTCTGGCAAACAGAGGATAGGGACACCATCCCTGCCCATCATTGCTAATAGCCATTGATGGACCCATACTCCATGAACTTATCTAGTTCTTTTTTGAACCTTGTTATAGTCTTGGCCTTCACAACATCCTCTGACAAAGACTTCCACAGACTGACTGTGCATTGTGTGAAGAAATACTTCCTTTTATTTGTTTTAAACTTGCTGATTATTAACTTCATTTGGTGACCCCTAGTTCTTGTATTATGAGAAGGAGTAAATAACACTTCCTTATTTACTTTCTCCACACCAGTCATGATTTTATAGACCTCTATCATATCCCCCCTTAGTCATCTCTTTTCCAAGCTGAAAAGTCCCAGTCTTATTATTCTCTCCTCAAATAGAAGGCCTTCCATTCCCCTAATCATTTTTGTTGCCTTTTTCTGAACTTTTTCCAATTCCAATATATCTTTTTTGAGATGGGGCGCACACAGTATTCAAGATGTGGGTGTACCATTGATTAATATAGAGGCAATATGATATTTTATGTCTTACTATCTATCCCTTTCTTAATGATGCCCAACATTCGGTTCGCTTTTTTGACTGCTGCTGCACATTGAGTGGATTTTATTTAGGGAACTATCCACAATGACTCCAAGATCTTTTTCTTGAGTGGTAACAGTTAATTTAGACCCCATCACTTTATATGTATAGTTGGAATTGTGTTTTCCAATGTGCATTACTTTGCATTTATCAACAGTAGCTAGAACTCCGGACTCAAATCC